GAGTTAAGAACTCAACTGCTCGAAGCTCTAAGTGAGATGATTTGTGTCTAAGGATTCTTAGGCCAGCAATTGGAATATGTTTGAAAGTAAAACTGCGTTAAAGTGTTATACGTTCAAGTAATCTGTGAACCAAAGGAGTCCCAATATCCGAACTTGGCAACTCGGCAAAAGTGCTTCACCTCACCTGCTGGTTGCAACTGACTAATTCATTCATCCGATCTTGTTTGCTGTCGCATGAACAGACAAAAACGAATTCGTGGTAGTTTTCATCCGTGCGCTCTCTCTTAGTTTACCGTAACCGAATAATAATTTCCCGTTACTATGGTTTTATCCTTTCCACAGGTCATCACACAATAGCGTGTATAGTAAATACATCAATGCTTTGTTGTTGATGGCAACTGATTTTAGCTAGAGACGGGTTTCTCCCATTTACGCCCGTGCGTGCTCATCCACGGGGTGACTACATCCCAGATAGTGGTGAGACGTTCCGGGGACGCGAACGTGGTTGACTCAGTCAATCAACACTGGACGGGTTTGACGGTGAAAGAACGACACACAATGGTTTCCTTAGATTTCGGGCCAGAATTCACAGCAGTAAAATTTTGTAATCGAGTATTACGGTAGTGCTAGTTGGACAAAGGTTTTAACAACGAGAATACAACTGGTGGTTGACTGTGTGAAGGTAACCCTGAAGGTGATAGAGAAGTTTTTTGCATGTTTCTATGTGCACTAAAGCTCGGACCCTTTTACCTTCGATGGATGACCGATCTCGCTTTAGACGAGAATGAACGAACACCACGGTAACTGCTCTCGGTCGGTCCGGTAAGAAATGCGAGTCGCGATACGATGAACCGGGAAACCGTTTACTGTGATCGGGCGTGCGTGTGGATATGAATCGTAACATTTTTTATTACACACCAGATGAACAACAGACGGAGTAAACCCCATAGTCACAAGGACCTGCTGTTCAGTGATGAAAACCGGTAACCTAAGCTCCGAGACTTGGAATGGTGAACCACATAAGCGTGGTTTTGAACCGGACGACAGCAAAGCAGCATACGTGCATGGGTTGTTTTGGCTTAGGTCCTGAAAATGTTGGTGCGCGAAATTCCACAGAGGCCGTGAACATCTCGAATTGAATCACTTGTTTTGTTTCTAATGCGAATTTTCGAGAACTGAAATGTATACTTAACAAGGAGCTTAACACCGACTCTGAAATGCAATGCAAAATATAGCAACATTAGCATTGAACAGCAAAACCATATTATAATACAATTACCTACATAATACTAACTGCTCTTTCAAGAGTCCTAAATTCTTCAGTGGATTCCGTTTACCAGGCCGATGATGATCCAGTGTTGCTTATTTAGCTATTTTAATTAGTTGACAACATCGTTGGAGTATCAAAATACAAACAAGCTTATTTTCGTAACTTCATCTTTGGGCAGTTACAATTGTGTTTATTGATAAAAGGTAGAAATTAACGTGATTGGTTCATCAAGTTAAAAAGGAAAAAACAATAATATCTGTCAAGCTCTACAGCGGAATATGGAGAAGGGGGAGAGGAATCAGAGAAATTTCCGATGACTTGTTTTCACGTGCAACGTGTCACACCATGTTGCGTCATTACAACGTGGATGAAGTCATAGTCCGGTTCGTGACGCAGGTTGGCGGGGAGCAAGAACAACTGGAGTGCGGCAAACATTTCCTTCTGTTTGCATAGTGGTGGGCTCAGGATTTTTATTGCTGTTGTTGCCGAACGTACTTCCAGTTTGATCTCAAAACTTTATAGATGACTTTAAATGCATCGTTGTCTGACTGAAACCCGATGTCAGCGAGGCGGACCACAATAGCGTTGGTTATGGGGTCTGGCATCGGTGCTTGGCCAGGCCGGCTTATATCCCCGACTCTGTGAAGCCGTATCAATGTTCGTCCTTCATAACTTGCCGAACATGTTCAAGTGGAGTAATAGTATATCATGGATGAGTAGGGAATGGACAGTTTGTGCAGAGCTGTAGCTGGCTTGTAAACGTCGCTGGATACACTCATAGGCGGGGCCCTTGAAATTGGCCCTGTCATTTTTTGTTATCGCTGGAGCTTTAGTTTTTTCATCACATGACCTCGGGATATACTTTTGTATCAATTACGGTGACCTCAATGATAACCTACAACACGCTCAGTTTAACTTCCGTACGAGTATCCGTCGAATATATCAACGAACCGTCCTTATGTGCTTTTTCTCGTTTTGTGAGAAATAGGGTCAAAAATTCACATGGCAAACGGAAAAATATCTCGCAGGCTAGAAAGTTGCGCTTGAGCACCGAAACCGGAAGAGCAATGATTTTCCGATCATTTTGTCGTCGGATGTCTGCTCAATTCTTTCTAAGCTATCGGACATCGGTCTTCTGATTCACTACGGTGAGTACTCCAAAAGTTGTGTGCTACTTTTCCAAGAATGTTGGTTACAAGAATTCGTCGAGGACGAATTGGTTCAGATCGAAGGCCTCCATTTATTTCGAGCAGATAGATAGAAAGGAAAGTAAAGGTGAAGGCGTCGGTCGTGAAGTGCGCCGGTCGTGGTGTACCTCCACCAAATGCATATTTACTCACTGCACACAAAACATTTCTTGTATTTCTGTAGAATGTAAACCACGTTTTCTACTGCGTCACTCTCCGATCGTCTTTTCAAACCTATACATCACTCCTGACTGTACTCTTAGTGAGTTGTCTACCTTCCTGGATGTATTTTATCCAATCATGTTGGATAAATTTGTCAAATCTGCATTCATCGTTTCTAGCGATTTCAACAGATCTGATGTGAGTTTTTACACACATGTCCCTTCAGAACATTGTTACTTTTTCTACTCGAAATGATGCCTCCTTGAACGACCTTTTCGTTAACGAATGATCTTTTTCCGTGCCTTCAAACGTGCACCAGTAGGCAATTCCGATCACTGTCTGATT